TTTGTGTGTGTGTGCGTGTATGTTTGTGGGTATGCGTGCACGTGTGTATGCATGTGTGTATGTGTGTGTGTTTTTGTGTGTTTGCTCGGCCGCGTACGTGCGTGCGTGTATGTGCGTGAGTGTGTGTGCACTTGCATGCGTGTATGTGTGAGTGTGTATGTGCGTGCATGTGTGTGTGCTTGCATGGGCGTGTGTATGTGTGTGCTTGTGTGCATGTGTGTGTACGTTTATGTGTGTGTGTGTGTGTGTTAGTGTATGTGTGTGAGTGTGTGCGCATGTGAGGAGAAGGGGTGCTAATAAAATCTAATAAACCCAGTTCAAGCCTGATTTGATCGCCAGTAGGATTTAGTTTAGACGAGTCTTGCACGTACCTCTTTCCCACTCTTCTTGCACCGAGCGACCAAATTTTGAAGTTATCTGTGCATCTACGACCCTGTTAATTAATAAGGAAAGCCATAAAAATAATTCACCTTAGGGCCGCTTCTAATTCCTGACGTCTTTAAAATGCTCAGTGTCCTATCATGGCTGGAGAGCTGGCAATAATCAGGTAGCTTAATGTAATATGAGGCTTGAGCACATCATTATGTGGGGTGTAGCAAGCACAAGATCTTAAGAACAAAGTATAATTATATAGATCAGCATTTGTACAATAGAGTGTCCCAGTCAAATTTTTATTTTGGCATTACAGAAATAGGCAATAATTATGAACTTGAGATGGAAAGTTCTATCTTCGCTATCTCTTTTTAACAGAGCGAAAAAGAAAGGAACATGTTTTACGAACCTAAAAGTCACTCCTACTTGTTAATGTTAGTGTTCTGTATTATAGTCTCCGAGCAGTGGATTCTACTGTTCCTGCTATCTTTCCCCTCCTGGTCCTTCTCTTTTTCGGTATCTCCATTATACTATTATTCAAACACACAAACACACAAACACACAAACACAGATACACACACTCACACTAATACTCATACATACATACGCATTCACCCTCACACCCGCACTCACACTATGATTGAGCCAAACACATCCTACCCCTTTCCACTAGTACGAAATCTATCTCTCTGTCTCTCTTTCTTTCTCTCTCTCTGTCTGTCTGTCTGTCTGTCTGTCTATCTGTCTGTCTGTCTGTCTGTCTGTCTGTCTGTCTCTCTCTCTCTCTCTCTCTCTCGATCTATCTCTCTCCCCCTCTCGATCGCTCTCTTTCTCTCTTTAACACACACACACACACACACCCACACACACAAAGATAGAGGTATGGATAGATAAATAGACAGAGAGAGAAAAAGAGAGACAGCGAGAAAGGGGAAGAGGTAGAGAGTTATAGACAGACAGATAGATAAAATAGCTAGCTAGATTGATAGATAGATAGATAGTCACGGGAGAGAGAGAGGGAGAGAGAGAGAGGCAGAGGCAGACAGAGAGAGAGAGAGAGAGTGAGAGAGAGAAAGAGAGAGAGAGAGAAAGAGAGAAAGAGAGAGAGA